GGCGTAACATGTAACAACTTAAGAGTAAGTCCTAAGAGAAGCAATAAAACAGCCCCGCGGACCTCAATAAAACAGCGCCCGTGAATCGACACACAACTATCTAGATCTAACACGTTTTTAATGAATGGTATGCGCTTGCTATGCCTACAGCGAGCGCGCACGGCTACCACTCCAGTGTCTCTCCTACCACAAGCCAAGTAACCAATAGAACGACTTTAACCCTACCCGTACGCCCTGGGGTCCTTTTGCAACCCCGGGGTTGTATTCTTCACATTTAAGAATACTTCTAGTGCGCAGATCTCTTTGAAACTTTCAGTATTTCTCAAAAAACCATTTTGACAGACTGCTAGAATAGCGTACGGATCGGATTAACGAGTAAATTTCCTCTTTGGAAAGTGGTAGCCGGGACAGAGTTCCCCACGTCGTATGGATCGAAAGTAAAACACGACGTACGGATAGGGTTAATACTTTTTGGGTGAGAAAATCATCAGCACGACATGGTGAAAGTGTAAAGAAAGACGCCGACGTATTGTGAGGCATCGTGGTGAAATCAGGCGCTCGTCAAAATAATGACATCAAAGAAACCGACCTTTTTCTGAGCGCTGGGAAATTTATTTTCGATTTAACTCTATTTGGCTCAACACCCCTTTTGTCCATTTAAAAGATATTTTTGTGAGAATTTTCACTTTTTCAAAATGTTGATTTTAAAAAAGGCCCAAAAATTGTAAATTTGCAGTTTTTAAGGACACTACAGCTTTGGAAGACGTCAAACTTTGTCGGCCATTTCCTTGCTCATTTTACTTCAAACACCAGGTGACCCCCACCTCTTTCAATCGTAAATAGCTTCACTTATAAAAGGGTACATATCCTTTTTAACAAAACAAAGACAAATGAACAAGCTATACGATAACACCAATATCTCCATATGCCCCAAAACTGACGAGCGCCTGATTTCACCCCGTCGTGCCATAGATCTGCCAGCGGTGCCGAAAGAATTCAGACCTTTCCAAACCATGAATCAAAGAGATCCACATGACAAGGGAACCGCCCGCCTCACACCGACGTTGCTCAACCAAGCGCAGAAGGCAACAACAACAACTGGTCTATTCAAACTGTTCATGGGACATGTACAAGGTTTTAAAAAAACAACAACCCAATAGCCTGACCTACATCTCTGGCGAAACATAGCGTCCGCCAGCTGTTCAGATGACCTTTCGCAGTTGCGAGCGCCGTAAAAGCTCTACTAAAGCAAAGGTATTAAGTCCCATATTCTTTTTTTTATAGTTTTTATTTGGTAGTTTGTTTGCTTGCTACAGCCATTTTCTTAATCTGCGTATTGACTGTATGTGCTCAAAAAAGTAATTTTTTGAAATTCAAATTCTTCAGGTCGAAAAAAAAGGGAAAACAGAAATATTTGAAGTTAAACTGTTCAAAGAATGAAAAACATTTTCTTGTTTGTTGGTTGTTGTTTTTTGGTGGGTTTTTTTGTGGGGGTTTTTTGTGGGGTTTTTTTTCGTTTTTGTCTCTCCAATTCTGGACTTGGAACATTTCAACAACTTGCCAAAGATTATAAAAGTTACTACTCCGAAAGCACATAGCACGGGATCTGAAACTCAAATTACCTTGCGGACGTTGAAGATAGAGTCTCGGTGAGCCTGATAGGTATTTTTAAAAATATTCCATAAAAATAAATAGGTTCCAAGTATTGTTTAAAAGTACAACGTTGAAACCTGGTTCAAAACTCGTTAACGAACACCACAAGAAGCTGTTGGAAGCCTTCAATGTAAGGAATCAAAGAGATACACACAAGGCAACAGCACTCCATAAATACCTTTTTCTATTCCGTTAATATAACAATATGTACATATATTTTGTTAATGAAAAAAGGCAACATCTTAGCAACAACAAAAAGTGTACGTGCGAGAAAAACGAGCCGGCTGCACAAACAACACCACCAAACTCTGACGTCAAGCAGGAGCCACAAAATGCTATAATATCATAGTCCTCTGGGCCTCAAGAATTGGCTGCACGCAGACCGCGAGTCGGAGACTCCAGACAGACAGCGGCTATACAAGACGGGGGACTCCCCACGAGTGTGCGAGTGCTCGTCCCGCCGGCTTCCACACGCTGACGTAATAGATGAAGGGACGTAACCGAGAAAATACGATAATGAGAACAAGTGATCGTGATTTAAGTCCCTTGGCGGCGCGAGTGATTGTCGACTGATCACTCGTCGATGAAAGCCGGAAAGATAGTCGGTTCACGCCTCTAAGCGACTGACGGATCCTAGTGTTGACACGAAGTGATAAGAAATCGATTGTGCGTATGGTCTGTTTTCATACATGAAAAAATGTGCCATTCAATAATAGAAAGGTAAGACGATCCCGGCACACATCTACAGAAAAAGGGTCCGTATTCAAAGGGTAAAGAAGCGTGCTTTTAAGTGTGAGATGTAATGCTGGAGTTGGAGATCAAACACGGGAGATATGAGAAAACACACAAACGCGCCGAGGGATCATTCCAGTGGTCATCTGCTTCAAGTGGACATTTCTGTGCGTGGTCATCCTAGGGTGGACATTGCCGTTGGGAGTTGTGGTCGCCCAGGTCGGGGAGGAATTTCCTGCTCTTGTCGCGGTGGTCGTAAACAACAGGCTTTAGACAAAGTACTAGGAGCGACTTCCCCACCGGGGGGGGGTATTGGAGTACTGTGGGAGGGAGGAGTGGAGGCGGTGCTCCTTGTAGTTGTAGGTCTGTACCTCTCCAACGAAGGGGTGGTTGAATTTGTCTTGGGTTACTACTACATTCTAATTCTATCCATATCTCTGTCCATCTCCCTGTGTCTGTCTTTG